TCCCATTTGGAGCTTAGCACTTCTGAGGGGTCGATGGTTAAGCAACTAAAAGACACTCTGAAACCCTTCAAAGTGGCAACTCAGGCCCTCTCCACTGACTCCTACCCCACGGCATCAGTCGTCCTTTGTGCTTGACTGTCAGTTCTATGTTTTTTCCCTGATCACCAAAGTTTTAGTCTAGAATTCTCTCATTACTGTTTTCTTCATGTTGTGTATTCTCTGTTATTAATACTGTAAAATAATGTGATGTCAGACAGGAAGTCTACTGAGGATTGGACACATTTTAATTGGGATTAATCTTTAAATGACAAGCTGAAGTCTATTGGACAACCATCTCAATAAAGAATGCCAAGTTCAGCGGTCGTCTGACTTCTCAGGTCTACCATCTGTATCCACCTATTGTCCTCCATCTATGTCAGTACATGTAGTTTGTGGATATTGGCATATTTTAAAGAAGGGATGACCCGATCAAGTGTTTTGCCCCCGATCTGAGTCATTTATTATAGAGCATCTGCTGATACCGGGCCTCAATCGACTACTTGTATTTTCCTGAAGAATACAGCTGCATAGTGCACACTTCAATTACATTGAAGTTATAAAAATCAATCTAGTGTATATGCTTGTCAATTGAATAGCTCTGCCCTGCATTAGCAATTTCGTTTTTTGCCTGCTTTCAAGCTGTTTCTTAACAGTAATTATTTGTATTTTTTATAAAATAAGTATAAAGTAACAAATTTCCTCTAATCTTTTTGGCCTTGTCGCTGTATCAAGGGAATTTCTTCCTTTAAAACTGTTTAGTTGCTTAAATGCAAACTTTGAGTTAAATGAACTGTTTAGTTGAGCTTTACCTCGGATTACGTTAATAATTGACTCTTGTTTGCCTAATGCTCGGGGGGCTTGGTTGCAGTGTGGTGGTGAGTGTGGTTGTTGTTGGCTGTCGTCGGTGGACTACGCACCATAGTTGACAGTAATGAGCTGAAATGAAACTGTTAAGTAAATAACATGCATAAAGAGTGTTTTGCTGTAGTTTGTAGAGTGTGCTGGTTCTCTGGGTCATGCTCACACAGAACCCTGCAGAGAGACAGCGGAGAGTTGACGGCGGCTGCACTCGTTGCGTTGCTGTGCATGAAACCATGAAAACACTTGTGTGACAACTGGATGAGATCTGGCTCTAGCTCAATACAGCCCACCGATCAGTTAAAGAAGGCCTCGATCGGTACAGATGTCCATCTTTGAGATTGCATCTGGACGGCCCTATTGAAAAGTGATGCTCCCATAGAAAGTCCATTTCAAACTGCCCAGATTGTTTCATAAGAGGTCCCCCAATTTACGTGATGACCTAAAGTCATGAACTGGCTTAAGAAACCTTTTGATAATCATTTGATAATGCTTTTCTATGATAAAGGGCAATCAGTTCATCCATCCTGAGAACTGTTGACATCAAGATCAGAGTCAGAATCACATGTCGCACTACATTTGTGGTCAGCCTGTTAAAATGCCCATGTGATTTATTATGTTGGGTAAAACTAAACGAGAGTTCAAAACCAGGATGTGTGCCCATCCGTAATCATCAGTTTATATACCTAAAGTAACTGTGAGGAACTTCAACAGGTCATGAACCAGTCTCAGTGTAGTCCTGATCCTCTATATGACCTCCATCAGTGAACTAGACCATCAGAGAGAAGATGGTCTATTTCTATAGAGTTATTCTTAATGCTCGTCATCGGTGCCACCGGATCGGATTCTGGTGAAACCAGATGAAATCATGCAGGTTCACCAGAAACTCCTTCAGCTCAGACTCCAGCGGGGCCTCCAGCAGAGACCGGTCCACCATGGACGGACCCAGATCCTCCAGCAGAGACCGGTCCACCGTGGACGGACCCAGATCCTCCAGCAGAGACCGGTCCACCGTGGACGGACCCAGATCCTCCAGCAGAGACCGGTCCACCGTGTACAGACCCAGATCTGGCCTCGCTGCAGCCTGCGACCTGCAGTCAGAAGTCATAAAGTAATGGGATTCATGTTGATGAATATGAAGTGACAACCCTTACTTTTAATTATATATATATATATTCACTTCTAACATGTAACTAATAAGAAACAAAACTTATTTAGTTAGTCTTTACATTACTATATAATAATGGTGTTAATTATTAAATGACAATAATTATCCTATGTAGAATATAAACTTGAATGTCTTTCTATTTCAATGTGTCTGAGTGATCGTAAAGTAGACTGGCGATTGCCAAAATGCCAAAATCAAGGGCCTGATTCCCTGCAAAGAGCTGCAGGGATGATGTATTTTCGTAGTCCAACAGGATATTAGCATGCACTGGTTGGATTTTGTATTATTGCGGAAAATAAGCTAACGTTAGGCTCTAAAAGAACTACACCACGGTGCACGAGTGCAACTCTACACAAAAAAAGCTATGAAGGCAGATGAGTTGATGTGATGACTTTTAGAAGACTCAATAAGCCACTTGTTAGCAAGCGCCTTTTTTGAGAGTCAAAGCTTCTAATTTCACCAGAGGGGTATTAACTGACCTATTTTATATCGTAAAAAAACTTTTAAAACTCTTAAACACGGACCTTATTTCAGGCATCTCACCAAAAAACCCATTAAAATACCCACTAACTTTGAGACGAATCAGAAGTGCAAAAATGCTGACTCATTGCCATTTTTAGCACTGTATACCCCTAAAGGCCTTAAACCATGAACCCTCAGGGACTTCACTTACGTCACATGGCAAATGGTTTAATGTGAGAGGCTGCATGGGCTTGAAATGGTAAAAATATGAAGTGGAGAGCACTTTGAAGCAATTTTCACGATACCTTGATGCTTTTAGTGCATGTTAGTGCATGTAGGCATGCCCTACTGGTTAGCTCACAGCTATTACTCTGCCCTGCTCTCATACAGTGGTTTAAACCGATAACGTCATCCATGACCCACGGCATCGTCGCTAAAGCATAGCATCCACCCTCAGGTTGGTCAGCAAGAGCAAGAGCCGCGCTGCCATGTTGAGAGCCTCAACACGCATGTGTTGTCCTCATTCTTTACTTTATGTTTACGCCTCCGGGCTTCCCCTGGTTACCCCGTGTTTAATATCACTACGATATGAGTTGTGGATAATTCCCACCAAAGGGCTTTACAGAAAGTGTTCATAAAGGACTAAAAATGTCTGCAAGAGAGCCTTAAAGCACTCAATGATTTGAAAATCGTCTGGAAGTCCGTGAGTCTGCCTTGTGCCCAAACAGCAGACAGATACAGATGGAGTCTGTCTAGCTGGTGAACTTTATAAGGTGATCGTTTGTTTGTTGTGTTTACAACTTCATCCTCTGCTCCCAAGTGGCCAAAAAAATCAATCAATACACCAACAGCCCTTGCCAAATGACTGATGAACCACCAATTCCAAGGGCCACAACTAGCACCATGAGGCAAAACTAGCCCCCAAACCCCCCTCAAAACTGTCAGTTATACACAGAAGAAGACTGAGTTAGCACCAGGCGGCAAACTCCGGTTCTACCGAGTCACGCCAATGCGGAAGTGTCTAGACTCTAGAGCATTCTCTCTACTGGCAAGCAGGGGGCGACTCCTCTGGTTTCATAAAGAAGTCAGAATAACTCTACTTCTCACTTGATTTATTACCTCAGTAAACATTGCAAACATGAATTCATGGTCTCAATCTCTTGATGCTCATTTGGTAAATTATGGTCCATTTAGAGTCAAACAGACCATGAAGCTATGTTTTGGGGCAGACTAAATTTGATTGACAGGCTACCAGAGCCTTATATAGCGTCTCTACGTCGCTCCTCCGCATTCCAAGATGGTAACTTCTGTTCATTGGTTCGGAAAAAAATAACCAAAAAAATTCCATACTTGGCGTACTTGGTATTGAGAAAGGGCCAAGACTTCTGAACGGCAGTCTGCAATTCAGTGGGTGACGTCACGATGATGACGTCCACTTTGTATATACAGTCTATGTTTAGCATACAAGGATTAAAGGGTTTAAAGGCGTGTTGGCAGTTAACACAGGCAAAATCTGAATATAGAGCACAGACAACCCAGATAACTCACTAGGTTCCAGCTGCATCATGTTAGTCGGTCCTGTCCTTTTAAACAAAGTATTCTTGGTTATTTTCACCTCTGTTTTTTCATGGTATGTCTGATGAGAACAAACATCCCTTTCTTTTTATTTGAGATACCTTGTTCCTCCTAAATTAAAGGAGACCCACTATACAATTGTATGTAATGTGTATCCATTGAGTGCTTTTTTTACATCAAAAATGAATCTGTCAATTTTCTGTTCTACAATAGTAACTATAGAGCATCAGTTCCTTTACTGTGAACACACGTGCAACCATGATGAGTGGACGCTACTGCCAAGCGGCCCCTGTTCATTAATTGAGTTAATTTGATAATTTACCTAAATAACATTTACTCACCTGTCTTATTCTGAAGGTCCCATGACGGAAGCATTACCGTACCCATGAACGCTTCCAGACTTCGTTTGTTTTTCTCTATTATTATATACGCTCAGACTTCTATGATTAATGAACCATGCATTCGTTTTGTTTCGTGCGTACATAGTTCCATATTTTATTTGATATATTAATATTATCATATTTTTATTTGTGTTGATCACGTGGTCAGGTCAAAGGAAGTTGACTTGTATGAGCCAATGAACAGCGAGCTTGTGATCATGATGTTAACCATTGGCTGGTTTAAAATGAAAGCGATATACGCGCTAACGGCTCTCTGTCGTTTCATTCGCTCAGAGAACAGACGGTTTCGGTAAGCTTTTTCCAATGAATGTACTTATTTTGTACTAAGGCTACATCAGTAATTGTTTCCTTGTGTTCAGAGTTCAAGTTTACTAACCCAGATAGCTCTACCAATACTACTAATGTGTGAATTCGAATTAGCTAACAGTAGTTTGATACATGCCAATGAAGGCGAGTTTAACGTTAGCTTTAGTTAGTTTTCCCTCGGCCACGTTAACGTCATTACGTACTATTCGTGAAGAAAATACCACTCTTACTAGCCACTCCGTAGTATACCGTTAACGTACATTTCCACGGCAATGTACCATTACATTTCCTTCCAGGCAAAGTGGAATTGTTTTGTGAAGTTTTCCCTCGGTCCATTCCAGCCCGTCTCATCTAGCTAATCATACAGCTATCGGGTGTACGTTACGTTAACGGTAACTGAACGCATCAGGGCATTTCTAAACCAAGATTTTCCGTGTTTAACGTTACTTGTTTCCTGTTTAGGTGACTAACTAATAACACGATTTGAGAACATGGCTGAAGGCGACTCCGGTGATCGCTACGAGTTCGATGCCCCGTCACACGTAGTCGACTTCATAGATCTGGACAATGCCGAAAGTGAAGATGTGTGGTTTGGTAAGTCTCTCTCCGATATTATCCTCTGATCCAACCGCTGTTTTGTTCACGTTGGATTCATTTAGCCTAACGGCAACATGCTCAGGACAAAGTATTGCTGCTGTCTTTTTATTGTTAAAACTCTGAGTCTGCAGTAACCGGTGTTGTCTTTTGTTGCTCTTGTCGCCATGAGCCACATACTATATTTCACCTCCATGTACGCTGTTTGCTGTGCTGCCGTCTCTTCCCAGCCCCTCGCTCGTTTTCTTTTCTTTTTAAAGCAAAGTGTTTGGAAGACAAACTATCTCAGCACAAAGGAAGTCAGTGATGTGGGTTCATCTCATAGAAGTTGTCCTGATGGCCTCGGCTCGCTGGTAGAAGAGGACTTTTGCAATTTCCTAATGAAAATGTGTGAATGGCCTCCACTCCATTTCTTGTGACAGTAAGGGTTCAAAAGTAGACAAATATCAGAATCACAACAGTTTATTGCCATGGTATGTTGAACATGCAAGGAATTTGACATGACGGGAGGTGCATAACGAACATAATAAAATATGCGGCACACGATGAAAGCAGCCGATGCCTGACAACACTTGAACACTTTAGGACAGCAGCTTCTCTCCTAAGGTCCTGTTTTGAATGCTGGCATCATGAATCATTTCACTTCTCTGCACCCAGCTGGTCAGGAGGACGCCATGACCCATTCAGTGTCACCCTTCGGTCGGATGGGTGTTAACTGTGTTGCTGTGTTCAAGCACGGTGTGACTTATCAGAAGAGGAATGAGTATTTTGAGTTCTAACAATATCGTACAAGTAGTATTTCTACCATTGCTACAAAATTGAAACTGGTAATGAAAACTATACTATAGAGTAGCCAATATTTATGTTAAATTAACCATCAAAGAATCTGAAGAGTCCATCTTCTTGATCTGTGACTGTCTCCTTGTGCAGAACAACAGACTGGAGGAGCAGATGGCCACCTTAAAACTCCTTTGGGGCCTGAACGAGGCTTTAGGAGAAGCCACGCGCTGGACCTGCCTAGAGCCACCATAGCCCCTCAAGTCATGGCAGAAAAGGACTCTGGTGTGTTTTTCATTTCATTATAGCTAATTACTGAAGATGCATTCATATTAGGCGGCTCAAGCTGAGTTCACTGAAATCTGATGGTTCCCTCTGGACCGGGCTGGAAGGCTGGGTCACCACTGACTTATGCAACTGCATGTCTAACCCCCAAAGAAAACGTTTTTAAAGGGATCAAACCCACAATGGGCCGGCCCCCTCCTTAAAGGGTCTGTGTGCTGAACAGACCCAAAGCTGAACCGATCGGTCAAAAAACAAACCAACAATACACAAATTACATTTAAAAACCAAATATAAATGAATATATAACATTTCTTGTCAATAACTACAAAATGAAACAACCTGGTTGACCCGGCCTGGCTGACCCTGCTGACGAGTTCTGGAGCTCCCTTGTCATGTCTCGCTGCCAGTGGACGGGGTTGCACTGTCCCTGACTTAATTCATATTTTTGTTTTGTTGCAGTGTAAAGCTCATGTTTCTTGATATTTTGTAATTAATGTTATTTGCTCTTTCATTTACTTACGGTCTTCCCTATCCTTTCACATAGCTCACTCACCATCACTCTGTTCTCCCATACTCTTACTACATGATGTTAGCTGGCCTGTGTTCACTGTTTGTCCTTATTTATCATCTTGCTATAAAAAAAAAAAAAAAGTATTCTACTCACCCTAATCCCAAGTTACTAAACAATAAATGAGTCCCTATAAAAATAATTTATTCAGATACTTAAGCGTATACAATAAAAGTAGCTTGCTCCTTCTGTGGAAAGATACTGTAGTCTTGCAGTTACAATCTCTTCCCGTGGGGACTCAGTCACAGCATTCAGTCAGTGCTGTAAGTTATGAAGGGTTCATTTGCAGAAACTAAAAGCCATTCTTAAAACCCATAAACAAACACCACTTGGGTTCATAAGTAAGAGTAATTGAATTGGATCCTTTATGTTGATATAGTTTCATGATGTGAACTTGTATGGATTTCTCAATGTTTCAGGTCCTAGTGTGTCCACATCTCCACCTCCAAACATGGTCACATCCTGGGGGGATGGTTCTCCTGCTCGGACTGGTGCACGACCGAAGAGGAGCGCTGCTCACCACCCCCCTGCCCAACCACGCAGGTAAAGTCCTTGTGATGGAAGACGTGTGCTACACAATTAATCTGAATTATCTGTGGTACTGATTCATAATTGTACACAATCTTACCTGATGATTCTGGCACATTAGCATAATCAGTTTAGAGTAAAATGGACCATAAAGCAGGGTGCGCTTCAGGGCGGGGCTACCTTGTGATTGACAGATGGCTACCACGGTGTTGTCCAGAACGGATCTTTAACCCTTTCACCGTCTGTTTTCACTTCATGAAAATGAATTGTAACATTTTGTTTGACTAAAAATATCTTAATCAGCGTTCAGTTGTACCTAGCGCCCCCTCTTGTGTCACTTCTGATTCCAAAGAACAAGATAGTGACAGACACAATGCTGTGGCTCAGTGGTAGAGCAGGGTCATCCTTAAATCAGAGGATCGACGGTTTGATCCCCGGCTCCTCTAGTCCATGTCAATGTGTCCATGGGCAAGACACTTAACCCCAAATTGCTCCTACTGTACTGTGTATGAATGTTAGAGTCCTGATGGGCAGGTGGCACCTTGCATGGTAGCCCCTGTCATCAGTGTATGAATGGGTGAATGTAGTGTTAAAGAGCTTTGAGTGGACGCAAGACTAGAAAAGAGAGAAACAAGTACAGTCCATTTAGCATTTGTGTCCAAACCATTGGATGATGTCACAGTGACTCGGTTCACCCCTCATATCCAGTCAAAGCTTCAAACACACCAACCGACTGTAGCACCATGTGACAAGTGGAGGAGGCGAGATTTATGTATGCTGTGTTTTAAAAGCTTACTATGCAGGAATTGTTGCTAACCGTTTGTTAACACAACATTCAGAGTTTACCGCTCCTGCCCCCGGCTCAACTACACCTGAGGCTAACGTGCCCAGTGTATCACCTTCAGCATCACATACTGTACAGCAGCGAGAGCTGCCTTTTCTCACTATTTGTGTTTGTTGTTGTTGTTGTTTTGTTATGCATGTACACCCAGTGTACATGCATAGCAAATCCAGGCAGAGGGTTAGGGTCTCTAAAGATAGACACCACCACACTGCTCTAGTGGGTCAGAGGAGATGATTGAGAGGGATTACTTAATACATAGTTTATTTTAGTGAATTGCTTCATAGTATAAAGGTCAGGCAGCTGATTGGAAGCTGTGTGTGTGGCCCCTGTACAGTCATTGTTATACTTCTATTACAGTGTGCATTAATGGGTAATTTTGTTTGGTACTGCTTTTGTGATTTAGATTAATTTTCATATCAAATTGAGTTTTCTTGATACAGGGAATATTATTCAGTCTGTACAGATGGTTGTGTGATGTCTATGGTCCAGAGTTGTCTTGGTTTCGGGCTTGAAGACTGGATTTCACGGCGGGACAGGTGTTTGAAAGAAAAGGGTCTAACAGCTGTTTGTTTTTGGGGACTTGACCTATACTTGAGATTAAACGTGTTTTATTTCTTATTCTTTCATTCCTTTTAGGGTTTCAAAACGTAAGGAGTTGACCAGCGGTCTGGCTCCACCACCATCAAAGAAACACAAAAAGTAAGTTTCAAAACTGTCTTGTCGTCAAGATTCCCTTGACTGGTTTCTTTTTAAGCCTTTACTGAACACCTGCTTATAAGGGACCCTGTCAATGTCTCCACGTTGTATTTCCTTTGTTGGTTTTTTACTGTGGTTGTTTGCTCTAGAACTCCTCCTCTTGCCCGAAGATCCACTAGTGTCCTCCGTAGCAAGGTGCCGCAGAATACCAGGACAGCGCCCAAGACCTCTTCCGCTACTGCAAACACAGAGTGAGTTTCTCCGACTCCACTGGAGTTTCTGTTGTGTGGTTATATGCTGAAGGACTGGGAGGTCTGCTCTGGGCTCTAGCCTTCTCCAGTGTGCTAGGTTCATACAACATCCACATCAGAGAGCCAAAGTGTTTCTAGCTGTCTAAGTGATTTGAACAGGACTGATGTTAAAGCTGTATTGTTGCTGATAATTATGTCCAAACAGGCCAAACAGCTCTGAAGAACAGGAGCTGGAGCGCATCAGAAACCTCCAGAAGGAAGTGGCAATGCATCGCAGGCAGAATGAGGCCAGCTACAAGGCTGCTCTGGCTGGCAGTGAGTAGTTCTGACTGACTCTGTGTGGCTGCAAACATTAGCGACCGTCCTTGCTACAACCTTTTTTTATGTGCCAGCTAACGAGCTGTTTAGTACATTTCAAAGGATCCGGAAGTCGTTCTTCAGGTTTACTTCTTGGAAGTAAATCTGCATCACTTATTTCAGATCCACCACCAAAGAAGTTGGTCCTGACATCGACTGTGCCCAAAGAGTTCCACTTCAGCACCAACACTCGTGTCAAGGCGACCGCCTCATCCAACGCAGCCCACAAGGAAGTGGACTTCATCAATCAGCTCCGCAAAGCCTCCTCCCCAGTCAGTACTTCTCATATGCTCACACATTTTTAGAATTCTAGTGTAACCTGGGGGGGGCCAAACTGTCAAACGGACCACGAATGGTTCACTTCAACATGTTTCAGGGTTCAGTGTGCACACAACGGGCTGCTGGAGTAAAGCCAGATTCATTTAATTTTGTTTCAACAAAAACAAAATTCCTTCATCACTAGATGGAAACTTATATAAAATCTGATCAAGATAAATAAATATACACTCCTTGATGATGTTGCATGAACTGAAATGTCCTCCAGCTCAGTTACAAGATGAATCCGCAGTTTAGTCGTAATTCTCAACGGTGAGCTGAGAGGAAAGTTAACTAGACATCCAAATGTACATGTGCACATTAAACCTGCACCCAATTTCTACCGTTGCTCTCCTTTTATTCTTTTTAGACAAAGGCTATGAGAGGCGCCACTGTGCCAAAACCCTTCAACCTGTCGACCAGCAACAAGAGAGAGGTGGAGGAGTCGGCTGCCTACGTGCCCATGGCTGAGCAGATAGAGCAGTTCCAGAAACGAACCCCTGACCGCTACCATCTGCGAAGTCGCAGCAGTCAAGAGAGAGGTGTGCAGGACAGTTGGGGCTAGATGTGGAGTTTTCTTCTGGGTTGAGTTTAACTTAAATTACTTTGGTTATAACTGTTTCCTAGGGCCAGCAGCGGTGAAGTGTGATAAGCTGAAGCTCACCCAGCCTCACACCCCTCACCTGATGACCCGCCAGAGGAGCCGGCCAACCAACGTGAAGAGCAGTGCTGACCTGGAAGCTGAAGAGGTGGACAGACTCCACAAGTAAGAACCTCTACTGAAGCCGTCCTCAGGCAGCACCAGGTGTGACTTAAGCTGACAGTCGGAGACCGGCCAGAGGTGGATGCCTCGTGAAGCCGTGTTAAAATAACAAGCAGCGTGATCATTATTGATGCTGACTTTTCAACACCCACCGTGACCGTCATGGTAGCCCCAAAGTGGGCTGTCCAACTGCCCTTTTCTTTACTTGGTTGTAAGCCAGCATGTTCCGTTAAATACTTACAGCTGTTCTACTTGTTCCTAAATGACTTGGGGAAACTTATGTTAGAACACTTAATCTTTGAAATAAGTCTTTTTCTGTTGAGTAGGCAAGATTAGATCAGTAATATTTTCATGAATTTTACCATCAGAGCTCCAAGACACTGGAAACGTCTGGGCTTACTTTTGATAGAAGCTTGTGACTCTGGATTGTTCAGCGTTTACTCTCTAGCCTGCAGTGCCTTCCTGTCAGTGTTGAATATTGCATTTCCATTAAATATTGTGTTTACTCAGGTTTAAGTTCAAGGCCTTGGAGCTAAACAGGAAAATTCTGGAGAGCATCAAGCACCCAAAGAGGCCGGCAGTGAAGGAACCCACTATACCCGAAGGCTTTGAGCTGCAGATTGAAAAACGTCTCCATGAGAGACAGGCCACCAAGAAGCCTCAGGGAGGGGAGGAGAAGGCGCACACCTTTAAAGCCCAGCCGCTGCCCAAAAAGATCCTGGAAGGAGTCGTGGTGAGTTTAAATCCTGTGAGGCTTTTAAGTGATTGATTTCTATACCATGAATGTAGTAAAAAGGGTTTCCTCTCGTCAACAGGGATTGCCGGAGAAGAAAGTTCTGCTTCCTACTGTGCCAGAGTCTCCAGCTTTTGCCCTGAAGAAGAGGGTTCGCATGGAGAAGGTCGAGGATGTAAGGGCTCATCTGGTTGTTTTAATACTTGAAGGATAATGACTTTTCTTCAACTTAAGGTAACACTACCCTTTTTTTCTTGCTCAGATCAAACCGCCTTCACCCATCAAAGCCCCCGCAGTGCCTCATTTTGGCCTCCCCATCCAGCCCCAGCTACAAGAGAACCACCATGTGGATGTCTGTCCCTTCTCCTTTGAGGAGCGGGACCGAGAGAGGAGGGCGTTGAAAGAGAAGAAGCTGCAGGAAATGCGAAATGAAGAGGTGGAGATCCACAAATGCAACCCTTGTCCTTTAGACCGCCAGAGTAAAGAAACAACCACTAAATCACTCCCCTAACGCTTCCTCTGAACTGTTCCAGGTACCGCAGTTCAAGGCCCAGCTACTGCCAGACTTCGACACTGTGCTCCTCCCCGAGAAGAAGAAGCTGGAGCCCACGAAGCCTGAGCCCTTCAGACTGCTGCTGGATGAGCGGGGAGCTGTGAGGGGCACTCGCTGGGAGCAGATGGTACGACACAATCTGACGGTTTAAAGTCAATAACCAACGGTACCTTGAAATTCATTCATGAGTGCTGTTTCTGTAGGTGAAAGAAGAGCATAAACGAGAGGAAGTCGTATTCAAAGCCAGGCCCAACACAGTCACTCATAAAGAGCCTTTCCAGCCCAAAAAGGAGGCCCGGGCTTCAGTGGGTAAGTCTATTAACATGCAGAGCTGACCAACACCTGGTTTTACCTTGACCTGTGATATTGTGATGGTTTTAACATGGCCATCAACGGCTCAAAGCACTGAACACTGACACTATTCAAACCTCGTGAAGAGAAGCGCTCTCTGTGCTTCACTTCCATCTGTCGTGGCACTAAGGAATGGATTCTTCCACAGTTGTGGAGGCCTTTGAGCTGTCGACGGAGCGTCGGGCCGTGGAGTGGCAGGAATACGAGCAGCAGGCCAGTGAGAAGGAGGCCCTCAGGATGCTCATGGAGGAAGAGCAGAGACGAGAGCAGGAGGAGAAGGAGAAGGAGGATGTCGCCAGGCTGCGGCAAGAACAGGTCATTGCCAAACTCAGTTTATTCCATTACTGAGTAAGAGTCCTCAGATTCAAAGGGCTGCCTCCTCAGGAGACACTTAATGACTCTAAAGTAAACAAACTCTATTAAGAGGTGGAAGTCTTAGAGATTCCAACGTGATGTAACTGCATTTGTTTTCTGCACCTCACCAGGTCCACTCTGCTCAGCCCATCAGACACTACAAACCTGTAACCGTGAAGAAGAGTGAGCTTCCTCTCACAGTCCCCCACTCACCCAACTTCTCTGACCGCTTCCGCTTGTGATCGGCCTGCCTCACTCCACGCTGTAGAGATCGGCATATTCTAAGCCTTCAGATGTTTTCTCTCTGTAATGATTTTTACAAACTTCTGGATTCAGTCGCTTTTTTCTTTGTTCCATGGTGAGCTTTAGAATGTAATAACATGCTGTATATTCTCTACCCTTTTCTATCTTAACTGACAAGCGATTTACAGTTTGTCTCTGTCTGTCTCTCTTTTTATCATAAAACTCTTCTTTTAAATAAAAGTTATAAAATATTACCAATTATGGACATTTTGTTTGAAGTTCTTGCAACTTTACATTCATATTTAATGCCAGTACAACGCATTAAACTTCATCTTTAAACTTAAACTCTAAATTGTGTGCTACTGTTTTATCATTTGTAAACTTTAAAACAGCTTATTGATTAGTGGTAACTGGTCAGAGTATGAAAGCATGCGTTACCTGCTCTAGGTTCGGTAATGGTTATTTTACTTGATTGCAGATTAGTTTATTTTGTGTGTGCCAGTAAAGCACAATTTTTGAAATGTGAAAGTGCCTTCAAGCATCGCCAGCATTATGGCTGAAACAAAGCCCAGTTGATAGACGTTGATAACCTGGATTCAAACGGAGTCGCTGCAGTTTAAGAGATCAAGTTCCAAAGTGTTTATCGAGCTTAAACTAGTTTAATGTGCATCGTCTGTCACCTGGTTCCAGATGTCAACATGTGTTCAGGAGTTTTTGTTACCCGATACAATGCTAGCCATTCTGCACATCAACTGAGCAAACCTCCAAATGAATGCTCATGTTGCACTGTAACAAGGTCACCATATCAAAGTGATTTGTAAGTTTTGTGTTCACTACTTGTTCCTGCTGCTTCCAAGAAAAAAAAAAAAGTGAATGCAGAATTTGAAAAGTGCAAATATTAGACTTTGAAACCATCTACCTGGATGTCTGCAGCCTAAACTCTACGGTGGCCACGAGAGCTCAACGCACTGCAAATCAAGGCAACATTATCAATTTGACAAATACACAGCATTAAAAAAGAAAGAAGAAAAAAAAAAAAAAAAAAAACGTGCTGCTAATAGCACACAGTGCATTTCTGGAGCACAGACAAAATGTATTGTGAAATAATGTTAGCTGGCTTTAACCTTAACACTGTCAGAACTTGTAATAAGGGACTCGTGTTAAGTTATGTTGTCATGACTCCAAAAAAAAAAAAAAATACAGTAATTTAAGTTACTGCTGCCAGTATATATTTTAAAATATTCATGCTGATTTGACTTTTAAACTGGTCATTAAACCATTTTCAATTTATTTCCATTCTTTAGTTACGTGGTGACAGGTCAGAAAGTATCTATAGCAGCTAACATAACATCTTTCACAATGGTGTGTTATGTCCCTTATTGTCTTCCATACCTGAAGTTTATTTCAGATAAAAACATGACAGGTGACCGTAGTTTAATCACATTTCACACTTCAGTTCATGGCTTTATTCAAGTTGTGTTCAAAGTACAGTGAGGGTTATGACGTGACAACTGAGTATGTTTCACTTTTACAAACTCAGCTGACCACCATCAGTGAGAGCACATTACAGCTCTGATTCCAGTAGGAAATCTCACAAAAATAGTTTTATCGCAAATCGAAAAAAATTCAGGGTGTGTCTTATCAAATAAAATATACACAAAATAAATAAGAGGCGTAACAGGCTTTGGAGTGTCTCAGTTCAAGAAAGAGTTCGAAAATAATTGCTTTGGATACAGAAAAAGGCACAGTTAGTGTTAGTTACTCAAGTACTATTTGACCAAATTTTCACAAATATTTCTAGGAAATCTAAACTGAACTCCTGGTGATTTCCTGAGAGAAGTCCAGCTCAAGGACCAACTGGATCCACACCTTAACTCCAGACCAACCAGGAGCCCTCAGCTTAAACCAGTGGCTCTATGTGGAATGATGATGAAGTCTCTCTTTGAGACAGAGCCTTAAGATTAGGTGAGAGTGCTGGCCCTGGTGCAGCTGGTAATACAACCTCTGTCAGAGCTGAAGCAGCCCACACTGATTACAGTTAAGCTCCTAAACACTGTATCCTACACTTCCCATAATGTAATTGCATAACCTCTTGTTTACTGCCCTGCACACTCTGTCTGTTAAAACATGTGGTGATATAATATGGCTTCCTTTCAATATTCAATGTATTCTACAACGTATGCCTGAAGGGCAGTTTGTAAATGAACACTGTTGCACAGAGAACACAGATCTAAGAGAACAACTTGTGTTGCAACATATTTACAACAGGAGGACGAAGCGCTTTGTTATTCATAGACAAAAAACAAATGCCAACAAGTTAGTTTAGAACTGGGACTAAAGTAACACATCCAGAACAAGGAGTTTGGGTAATAAGATGAGCAGGTGGACTACTTCATGTTAGTCAGGCTGAAGCACAAAGAGCTACTGAAGGAAGAAAATAATACAATTTAAATAATAGTGTTAGTCCTAAAAAAGTAAATCACATTTGAAATCCTTGAGAGACGAGGTGTAATACAATATAGTGAATTCAGCCTGGAGCAGCAGAGATGAGCAGCGGGCTGCAGAGGTCTGGTCAGACCACTTCTCTCTAACTTCACACCTTATGGACCCCTTCACAAGAATCACCGTCTTATCATATCAGCTGGTATTGTGATGAAGTGGTGCACATTCCCAAACCAGTTAGTCCAATATGATGCACCAACTAACACACAGTTAACCTGAGCCTCTCAAACCCTCAGAGATCTGAGGCCCCCGGGACTTGTACCCATAATGCATATTTTAAAGACGACACGTGATGGTCACAAATATTTGTGAAGGCTTGAAAGTGATACTTTTGACCCAGTTCTCCTCTAACATTATATGTTGTTGTTCAATCATGCGCCCGTGTTTTTCTGTTTATCATAGAGCACTACTGCTAATAAGTTGTATATAATTCTTTAAGTAAGACAGAAACAAGCAAATTAACTCATGAAAAAGAGCAACGGTCACCTGCTCCGAGTCAGAAAATAGAGAGCAGCTGTGAAGCTGAAGGAGGCGGCCATTGTGTGTGTCCTGTTTGATGTGGACTAGCCGGCGCTGTGTGCCATCTTTGGGAGTTCAGGGATCCACAAATGACACTGCGATGTACCGCACGCCGGCGGTGGTGGGCAGGCCTTCGTGGTAATGAGTGAGACGGCCCGGGTGCAAGATGGTCCAGCCTTTACGAGGAGCCTCAATGGAGCAGTCATAGCGGAGGAACCTGCATCCACCTCCCTGCAGTCACAGCACAACACACATCATCCTCTGACTCCAGCTGAAGTAGAACTACTTCTCATGATCAATATACAATCTAAAGAAATGGATCTGTAGTTTTAGGATAAGGTAATACTAAACACCAGGACACACAATTTTAATTCTAATGAATGTGAAAATGTATTTGTTAATCGACAACCACAGAACCTGTTATTTTAACTCCAGATCCAAATTCAATATATATCAATATTCTGTTATTATTAGTTGTTGTAAAATTATTATCTACGGTTAAATATCATATATATTGTACTTCAAAAATGTTACGTTCAAGCCTCAAAAAGCCTTGTTGTATGTTCTCAATACAACACACAGCATACTATATCATCACACGTCAAGGATAGAAGCTGTAAATTCATGTAGCATAAAGCAATAATACTGTGGACTAATGGCTGAATAACTGTCTCCTCCAGTATATTGAAGATGTAGGAAAACAACATGGATGCAGCTTCATGCAAAGAAGACGGACTCACAAACGGAAAGTTTGAAAGATCAGGGACGAAGATGTTCATGCCAGAAATATGACGGCATTCATTTTCAATGATATGATTCAGCACCATGCTTAATCAAACCTGCATGGCTACACTGTACTGTTTGGGCTACTCTCATCACTTCACTTTCATCCTGAAACAGTGGCCAACATAAAGCCTGTTGACCTCCTGTCTCTCCCCCTCTATGTGCACCCTGTATGGTCTTATCATATGATTAAAACAGCTATTCTGGTGACCATGTTCATTGCTGTCTTCTATATTATATTACCAGCATTCACTGTGATTTTACTGGGACACATTCCTGATTCATAACTGTCCCATTCCGATATTCAAATACAACTTATAATAAAAGACATTATAAGTGCAATTGACTCTAAAGAATACTGTGCTGCATTATTCCTTGACCTGGTTAACTAATGTCTTCCAAAAATGTTCAATGGTTTCAAAACTATAGAGTGGTAGAACTCAAAGTGTCCCAAGTTGATGGTTTATATTCTAGCTTGTCCTATTTTATTTACAATTAATATTAATAATCTGTATGCATCTCAGTTAAGTTTCTTTTAAATATGTTATATACTGCAATTATTTTGCTGCAGGGAAAAAATGTGTTCAATCACCGCTTTGATCAGCAGTTGATTGTGGTGATATTTGATATCTATCCATGAGAGTTGAAATGAAAACGTTCGATTCAGTATATCAAGTGATTTGACGATTTGTGTCTGATTGGGGTTTTCACACACATCATTGCAGTTTGTATGAGAAAGTTTGTTTTCTTCATAAAACCTTTGGTCATACGGAAAAGTAATGTTCGCCATTCCTCAAACCGTCTCTGGTGAAAGTACTTACAAAGTTTTTGGAGCTACAGAGAAATTATGAACTAGATTATTTCATAAACATTGAAGATTAAAAACAGGATTAAGGATCATTTGGCCACCGGATGTACTGGTCCTGACACTGAATGACAACTTGATTCAATGTTTTTATGTCGTCTTTAACTTCTTGCCGTTTTGTTTTCTCAGGCTGTTATCTGTGCTTTTATGTGGTGCTTGTGTGAAACTAACCCTAACCCAACCTGACCTCCTTGTAAATGAGATTCAAAATGTTAATGCGATCATCCTGTGGAATTAGGCAAGAAGGAACGGCTCAAATCCTTTTGTAAATCACGGTTTCATATCCTGCCTATGTTTGCATCCACTGACATAATTGTCAGTTTAATTCAGATTAAGGTACTAAGTTTGCCAGGTGTTGTCTAATATTACTAGCTGTTCTTTTAAGATGTAGTAACTATGAACCACCTGTTGGAATGGTCAGATTTCTACCAACCTCTAAACACACTCACCTGGTAATCAGCGCCCAGTTGATTGAGTGCAATGTTTATAGTGAATGTGGAGGCGTCATGGTGTGGTCTCAAAGACGGCTGCTCATCTGGCTTATATCTAACTACAAAGGCCAATTCAAACTGAGCCTGCAAACACACAGACAGAGAGGAGTCATGCAAGCACTCGCAGAACACATGTGCGCCCCTCGCAGCTCCTGCTCAATATAGAAAAGCATCAGCTTGGTTCCCGGTCCAGCATTCACTTCCAGAGATGGAGAGGAGAAGCAGAGAGAGAAGTGGAGATCGCCCGCATCATCACATCCTGTCGCCTCTACTACCTGCCAGCTCCTCCCCATTTACCTGGTAGTCCACGTCTTTGCTGTTGAGAGCTATGTTAATAGTGAATGTGGAGGCGTCATGGTGAGGGACAAGCAGGGGCTGCTCGTCAGGTTTGTACCTCACCACAAAGTTCAAGGGACTGGAGCACTGATGAGAGAAGACATGTTAGACAGCAGCAGCACAGGAACCAGTGAGGGAGCTGCTGATGGGCACAGTCACGTTCAATCCTCTGATACATTATTCAGTCACTATATCATATCATTAATTGTGTGTTAACATCTTTACACTGCTCCTTTTGTCCTACAAATGTTGAATGAAGAATCAATTATCAAATTTGCTTTTCTGTCAATCATCTGATCATTCTTAAAAGCAGTCATTTCAGCACCACAATACCAAGAGTCACGCCTCAATCACTAAATGACCCCGTTATGCTTCATTCGATCAAAAAGTGATATAGTACGTTGTAAAAGTCATAAAAGCTGGTAACATTTCTATTCTTAAACAAGTCGGATGATATTCTATATTTTTCTCTTGTATTCAGACTCAAACCAACTGATCTACTGTCAAGTATTGTGTGTGTATCAAAGTGTGACATATCTTAGGCCAAAGAGCTCCACTGCTCTATTCAAACACATCAGAGAGCCACACTGTTCTACATTACCATGAACACACACACACTGCAGTTCATGTTGACTCACGCACAACATAGACAACAAAATATCTCCTCTCACTTTGCTACACTATTGGACTCACAGGTGCACTCTGGGAAATTCAGTACAATAACTACATTCATTCTTCAACAAAGCTGCAGACAAAGTAGGATAAGTGAGTGTGTTAGTTTATAGCAAACATCTTCATTTGAATCTTCTTAATGCTGATCAAATTCAGATAACGTGGATGAGACATGGAGTATGTGAAGTTCCTCTGCTCACGTCTTACCTTGGTGTAGTAACCAGGATACATCTTCTCTGTTATCGGTGCTATATACTCCAGTAAGAACTTCTGCCATTCCTTCTCAAAGTTGATCTGATTCATGTGGATATCGATCGTGGGGACGTTCTCATAGCCTCCTTGGATTCTTTTGTCCTGACAAATCAAAAGATAAATCCTTTTAGAAAAACCTCAACATCAAGACGACTTGAGATATTCGTTGCAAATGACAGCAGATGGCAGATAATGCTAACAGCGACTCATTAGACAAATAAGGAATTATACTGACTAACAAAGAAGCAATGATGAGATGTGATTGTGGATGAACATTTTCTCACCATAGTTCCTGTATTTTTATTGTTATTACTGACGATGAGAAATATTCATGTAAATCTTTAGAATCCCTTCACTGATCAAATCAGACAAAGACACACCCATAAAATAACATACCGTATTGGCTCCTCCTGACCACCTCCCATTATGTTCCATTTCTTCAACAATGTGGTTACAAGCAACATCAGAGAAAATTGGGAACCAGTAGACATCAGGACAAGGCTGGGGGACAGAGGACAGGGCACTGAGTCCAATTACATATCCATACAGCCGCACGTTAATACATAGCATCCATTAATGTCTTTCTTTATTCTTTATTCGGTGATGTGCAGTCCACTACACTGAGAGTATTCATTAGAAACACACAGGGAGTTACATGTGTTCCATGAGTCATCATGTCAACTTGTGCTGCAACTCACAGTTTCAATCAGCTTATCTTTCATGATGCGAGTGTAGTTCTCATGAATGTAGCGCTCCTGCCAGTCCTGAAAGAAACACACACCACACAGTCAGCGATTGTTACATAGTGCTGCTACAACCACAACCACTGCACTGGTCATGTTAGTGTTCAGCCTACTGCTGATGATACTGCCACTACTACAAGTACAACTGTTGCTGAAAAGATGTTCTAGGGCTCGTAAAGCTGTGCACAGTCAGTAAGTAGAACTAAGAATAAGAGACATGCATAAACATCACACAGCATGGAAACATGCTGAAGGATTGACAATGAGCACAATCAAACTGTGTTATTCTTTTGAATGTTCACATTAACCATATCTATATAGTTCACATGATTAGTTCTTAATAAGAATGTCAATGAGTTTGAAATGACAACAAAAAGTTTTTGAAGGAGAAATACTTCATTTGATTAATTTTCAGAAAATCACAAACATTTAAACCTGTATGTAGTTAACATACAAACATTATGACATCCTCAGAAGACCAAAAAAGAATTATACAAAAATATATATTATACATCCTGGAATATTATGAGGGCTAGTCTCAGTCTCACCGCTGGGTTTTCAAAGATCTGCCACAGATCATTATGAAGATGGCTCGTCTGATAGTTTTCTGTTGACAGGATGCGACCGAAAGTGTGCATGTTGGTTACATACATGAAGATTCCCTGAAGGAAAGATTCACAACAGGTCAAGTATTTTCATGAACAATTTTACATTTACAGTTATAAACATTGTTTTTTTCCATTAGATCTAAGAGCAAATAGATTATGACACAAAACAGCAGAAGGAGCAAAACAGGAAAGAGTCTAAACTACATGACACTTTGTTCTTTCTATGCTGTAGTTATTTTGTTCCTTGTTTATGTAGAGTACATACAGTACATGTACTAATACTGACCTTGCTGCGGATGTTGTGGCAGTAAGCCATGTCAGGGTCTAAGATGTTTGAGGTAAACAGCTCGTAGTCTGAGAGCTCTGATCGGAGGAGGCTGGCCTTCACCAGGTACACGCTGGACACATACGGGACGTTCCACACCCCACTAAAATCAAGACAGACACCAACACTAGGATCTCTCACTAATGCCCAGTGAAAAGATGTAATAAGATGTTATAATTGTGATCTTTCCCACATACTGTATATTAAAAACACATCTCTCTACTGCACCCCACCATTGGTGATCCCTGTAACGAGGTGCAGTGTGCAGACGTTGGTAGTCCTATGGATTGATGTGATTGGGTGCATATCTGCAGAGCTCTGTAAAGTTGCCTCTAGTGCTACAGTCTGTGGCTCTGTCAGTCTAGCCTGCCTATAAAAGTGTTTGTCACTGAACGTGCCTCTGAAATCTTTAAATCCACTTACACTCTGCGTCCTTGGACTATGTCCACGTAGTCCTCAGACCGGGCGTAGTAGCCGTCTGCACTGAGGGCTCCCCAGAAGTTGCTCCACAGTCGACCGACGCGAGTTATCATCGGTGCCACAATAGGACTGATGGACAATTAAAGGAGTGTTACTATATGTCTTCATCTGGCTAAATACAGTACGTAAACTGCTAATAAATGAGTGTAATAGAAATTCCCACAGCAGTCCTAAGACATCAGCCACATTAATGTTAATAATTCAATATTGTTAAATATACTTGCAGGTTTTGTTCAATAAGAATTTTAAGTGTGTTCTCGTTCTCCAAGACCACTTCAATGTCCAAGATGAAGAAATAGTCACAGTCCTTGTCCTTCCGGCACATATCACTGAAAGAGAGGAAACACAGGATGTAGTGTGAGACTAAAGAGCAGCGCTGGTACTCTGGATAAACCATATGACCTCACATCACACGGGTTGGCTCTGAAAATCAAGTCAAAAGCACAAAAGCTCCTATTTTCATGAAGCAAACATTTTTCATACAGTCCAACTGAGATTTATGTAATTGTTTTTTGCTAAGAAATCCCAGTATGCAGTGTTTGTTTTCATTTGTTTACTTATTTTTGCTAAATTGAATTGTTCTCCACTGGGTGTGAATTTAGTACCAATGGATGATGGATGATGTGGCAAAAACAAGAATTTGTTAAACGCCTTTGATTCCAGTAGCCTGAAAGATAAGAATACAAATGCCACAACTAACGGTCGACAGCTCTTTATTGTATAGAAAACAATCTCAGAACCCTTCAGCTATCAATCTGACGACAGATAAGCATCTGGGTCAAGGGACTATATTTGTGGGGTTCTGGTGTGGCCAGCAGATATCTGGGCCGACTTGTTTACGGTCCCATTAGCAACATGAGACTCGAGACTGGAGTTACAGTTGAGAGACGACGTGTGCAACCCGATTGTATATGAATATTTCTGTTTATAGAGATTAATAAAAAGCTAAATCCTGGTTACCTGAACCAACCAAAGCCCACTCAAACATGAAACTATTCTGATGCCTCTAGTACCAAAATCCTGTCCTGTTGCCTTCAGATATAGCATTCATATGCAGATATCTGTTTTGTCGTGGGAAAGTCTCCCACTCTGAAACACTGAGATACAAATGTGTCCAAACATAGCTTAATCCTCTTTTGAAATGACAGACATATGTCCATAGCCAATATTATCATTATCATTTATATTTCCTTATACAAAAAGTGAGGTTTGACTTTAAAGATCTCCTCCAGACATGTTTTGTATACCAAATTCAAATTCTTTGAATTTGGTATACAAATTATACTCCTCCCTCATTGAAATATTCAGAATCTATGAATGTGTATTGTAATGAAATATAATAATCTAGTTGCATATTGGTCTGTGATTGGCTTCCAAACTAGTTGTGAATCCTGCTGCTGCGTCCAGGTGTTGAACTGAGACTAAAGGAGAGCATAAAGAAAGGTTCCCTCTGCAGCAGAAGGATGTGAGAACAGACTGAGCACTTCAATCATTCTGCACAGTGAAGCTCAAACATCCAGACAAGCTGACAGCTTTTTGACTGGAGGGGAACTTTCAGTAAGTGATCACAGACAGCTTCTCATGAAGGAAAGAAAGAATCCTGCAGGGTTTGCACAGTAAACCTTGTGCATATCAAAGTAACACACACAACTTGTTGTTGTCAAATGACGACTGTGTTAAAGCCTTTTCTCACTCTTGAACATGATCAGTTTTTAATCACATGACCTGAGGTCAATAAGTTCAACATTAAAGCATACTCTATCTGATTCTGTGCAACTCGGTTTCTTTAGAAATAGTTTAGAACTCTAGTGTCACTTGGGACTCACAGGCCCAGGTTGCGGGAGGCCGCTTGGTCCATCTCCTCTTCAGGGCCGACCAGCTTGACATCCTGATAAAGGCTTCCATGATCCTTCAGAAAGGAGCTGATCTGACCCTCATGATGGGCTTCCTGGAGGGAGAGGAGAAGTAAACAGATAGAAAGAGCAGGCGTCTGAGTTACTATGGAAAAGGTATTTATGGTACATGTTTGTACAACCAGTGGATTTTTCTATACATGACTTCTATTGGCTTATAGTATCAAGGGTGTATCAAGTATCAATGGCTGCCGGGCGACGGTGGCTAAGTGGAGAGCAGGGCCGTCCTTCAATCAGAGGGTCGGCAGTTCGATCCCCGGCTCCGCTAGTCTAAATCCTAAAATTGTGATAGAATCTGAATTGTAAATGACTGTAATGTAATGTGTGATAGCAGGAGGCTCCCTTAGGAGCTTCAACCCTTTCAAACTTGCTGTGGTTTTCATTCTCTATATTTTAAGGCTTTGGACATAGTCACTAAATGTCTGAGCTAGGTATGCTATGCTATATACATTGTTATTTTCAGGATAAAACTCAGAAATGACATATGAGTGGAGCTTTAATGCCAAAATAAATATTTCGTTTAGGCTTTACCGTGATATTTTACATTTTGGTGGATCTGCACCATGAACAGTCATCCTGCATTAGCTGCATTGAAATCAAATCGATGGTAAAAAAGAGTGAGTGGCACCGGTTCCAGCAGTGTGTCTATGATGTGCATGTGTTCAGATCTGAGTAATGATTCTCAAGTCAAAGTTCACCAAATTTGCTTCACCACCAGAAGCAAATGTTTTATTGGCCCTTAGATGGCCTAGAATGGGAGTGAACGGTAGGCCATGTTCATGTTGTGAACATGGAGGCATGTTACATGCCTCTATGATTAGCTAACATATAGTAACAATAGGAAGCTTGTTTCAACATGCTGATTTTGGTGCAGTAACCATAGACACAGCTAACAGGAACTGGTTAAACATCGTCATGAGATTAAGATAGGATGTTTAGTTTCATTCAGTAGCAGTGGCGGGCCGTGCATTTTATACCTAGGCCTTCACTGTTGCCCTGCAGCTGAAATACCACCTTATAACCACATGATGGTGCCAGAGTTATTAGTTTCTAAGGCTGTAACTATGTACGTATTAAATGTATGTACCTATGTATGTACCGTTCGGTACAAGACTTACAATACGTTTAAATAGTACTAGAGCATTTGGAAAATGCAGAAGCTTATATTTAGGAAAATATAATGTTTTCTGCGCTCATGGCGGACAATGGTTCTCAGCTGGTCTGGCTGTAGGACCCACCATCACTCCTTAATGACAAGTCATGGCCCAAAGACATCGTCTTATGACTTTACTTTCACAACTTGAACATTGCACGTACTGCTCTGCAGTGTCTTTCCTCGTCTCAGCCCCCTGTGTCATGGTGTGTGGTACATTTCGCTCAGTCAGAATGCCCATATTTGATTGGCTGAGCTGCATCACGTGATGTGATTCACTACTCGACAGCCTCTGCTGTTAAGTTTCGTTTCACGATAGTCACGTGCTCGCCCACTGACCAATCACAACACACTCTGCACCTCGCGGCAGAGGTGCAGAGTGGACACTGAGCGGCACGTAATGCTGACGTCATTATAGGCCTGCGAGCAGGCGCTGACACTCAAAGAATACGCCCAACATGTCAAACTAAAGATCTGATTGGTTGAACACTATGACAATCAACAATATCGTCCCCATTTACTTTAATCTGCACTGGATGCACCTGAGACTCTGCAGGCCTGGGTCTCTGTTCTTACCTAGAGACACAGAGGTGAAATCTGATTGGATAAAAGCTCTACTTAAAACAAGCTGCACTGGAAGCAGAGCAACTGAGGAAGACAGTAGCTGTGCAATGAGAAAATAAGATAATGGGAAAAATATTTTTATAAATTATAATACATGTAGTGTATTTAAGAAAAATTATTAAATTATAAAATAGATATAACTTTGTGATTCTGTTTAGGCCAGCAGAGAAGGCCTTGCTGGCCCTGATGGCCCGCCACTGTTCAGTAGATACCAATACATCTAATCAGTAAATTCATCACGTGAGCCTTTTTGATCGTCTGTGGGACACTTTAAAGTACATCTTAACCTTGATGTACTAGATGTTCTCCTGGTACCTGGTTGTAGATGAAGAGTTTGAATCTGTTCTTGGGGTACTGGAGCTTCAGTAGGCGTTCAAAGAACACTGCCACAAAAGGGGTGGGCTGCTGAATGAAGATGCCAAAGACCACCAGTGGGTATTCACTCTCCTGTTGGAAAAAAAAAAAAATCAGGCATCATATGAGTTCCAGGAGCAAGGGCTTATTACTTCTATTTGGCATCAAACGCCTGAACAGTTGAAATATTTCTTGATATTGATGAAATGAAGTTGTGGCATATCTTGCATAAAGAGCAGATGTGATCACCATCAGCCTGTGAACTGACCTGAAGAGCTGAGAGTGGGTGGAGATCCTCGTGACACACTGTGCATCCTGTCTCAAATGTCCACGTGTCGGGGATGTAGTTACCCAGGTAGTTGATCTGGAGCTGGAAACAAATATGTGTTCTCGTAGGTTATCCCATCTCAGTCTAATATCCAGTACTTAAGTCATAACAACATTTACAAGTAGGCTACTTTGACCGGCTGACTTACTGGACACAAGTGATTTTTATTATTATTGCCAAGAAGAATAAAAGATGGACCAGAATTGCTCCTTTAGCCTCTGACCCTCTGTGTGGGTGGGCGGGTATACATGTGTGATGGACAGCTAAATCACACAAGGGACAGTGCTTTCTCACTAATTAGCTATCCAGACGGATTGGTTGCTCAGCAAGCTACAGTGTACTACAACACTAGAAAGAGAGTGGGGGTCGTAGTTCAAAGTTTTGAATTCAATTATTTGTGGATTTACAGAGAGACCAGGAGCACATTGACAGGCTCGTCATTCTTTCTTCTCTGAAGCTTGTTGTCCTCAATCTGAGAAGTGCTCAGCTGCTCATTGCTGGATGATGATGTCTTGAGAATGTATTTTCATGTTTGAATCATGACGCATGAGGAAAGAACAAAGTGTCGTATTGGTTTGGGTGTGAACACACCTGATGGTCAGCTGCATGTGATTGGTCAGATTGGTGTGATAGGTCAGTACCTTGGTTGGTCCGTTCCCATGGATGATGACAGGCAACGTATCGTACAGCATATTCCTGGCTCGTACCCGTCCGTCCTCAAACTTCAGCACCACCTCGTCTGGAAACACACACACACACACACACACACACACACACACACACACAGACGAGATTAAAGAAGGCCTGTAACAGCCTGAACATAATATCAGATTTAACTGCATGTTGTAATAATTATTACATATTGCAGTGGTTATTACAACATGTGTGAGTGGTAATAACCAAACATGTCTCAATTAATACAAATATTTTTAACATGATAACAATGTCTATTTCAAGTGTTCTAGTATGAATCATACTGACTCAAAATTCATTTTTAAAAGACATAATTAGTTCAGTGGATTATCTTTATCTTTTTTATCAAGTGTCACTGTATTCCTGAGCCTAATACAAAGTGACTGTACTTGAGGGTAAATAAGGTCTATGTTTAACACAAGCTGAAGAGATTTGAATGCTTTGTTCTATGGTATAAAATACATCAGTAAATAACCCTTAGCTTTTACAGATCTTGAAAAAGGCGGTTGCTAACAAGTGTCTAAATGAGACGACTAAATGTCATCAGCCCGACTAGTCCTGCTTTAGCTCAGTGGTGGTGACGTGAAGTCAAAATATGAATGAAGATCATAAAAGTGGTGTTCATTTCTGAAGGTTAACTTGCTGAACAAAACTTGTAAATTTCATAAACATGTGTTTGCCACAGAGATTATTTTCTATAATAATCCAAAATCCAATGGAAGAATCCTGTTGGCTTTTTGTGGAGGGAACCAGCACGATTCTCCACGTCATCAGGATTATGCACATTTTGCGTCAACAGAAAAAGACAAACAATTGTTGCAAAACAGTGAATTCTTTCAATTTTTGTATTCTCTCTCAATGGCCTCTTACAATATGTTTAGACAAAGAACATGTACCATAGTATTGTATTATATTAAATTATGTTTAGGTATTTAAGTAATTAAGTGACAAAGAAGCAGGTTAGCTAGTGTTGTCCCTGGTGCTAGTGCAGAAGGTTTGAGCTTTCATCTTTTTACATATCAGTTAAGAAGCTGCTCTGCATGAGAGAAACTCTATATCCAACACCTTACTTTCTAACTAGTTTCAAGTGAACTTCATATCCCTGATTACTGTTGTCAGTAATTACATGATGAGGTGGTATTAGAGACTGTAGTGTGTTACAAGTTCTGTCAATCAGGATAGAGGAGAGAAGGATTATGTTTACAAATGATTCATCTGCGTTTATGATTGTGTATTTGGCCAAATGTGCTACAAAATGTCTTTTACAAACTTGTTTCAATAGTATTGCCACTATCAATATTTAACACACACTTTTCACACATTGTTCTTCATTTTGAATCATAGATATCTGTTTATGTAAAATCTTCTTTTGTGTCTTACACTTGAAGAGAAGTGGCAAGCAGCAGGTAATAGCAGAGCTGACAACGGGAGGATTTATGGGAGCAGACGGTCCTCAGGGAGTTCATTCAAGCCCCTAGACTCTTGGTGCTGTCACATCCGTCTCTCAGTGAACTAACAAATTCCTTCCTCTAACTCAAACAATGCTGCAGAGACTGCAAGGAGTTCAGCTCATGTCTAAACCTGCAGCCCTGACTTATACACTGCAACTGTTAACCCCTCTGGAACCTTGAAGGAGACGACGTCTCAGCGCTACAATCTCCAGATTATTCAGCAGGCAGAGGAAGAAACAGCCAGGAGCCTGAGAAGAAGTTAACCACTGGTTGCCAAAAGGGATGAGGCAACACTCACAACAGGTAGATCGGGATATGTTTTTATCAGGATAATCGTAAAGTCACATGAGTGACTTAAAGGACGTGTCCAGCTCAATATCATGTAGAGAAGTGAAAAATAGAGCCTGATTTAAAAAACAGGAATGATCATGTTAGAAAGAAATAGCTCATACAATGTAGACATTTCTTTATTCCTCCGTTATTTGCAGGGGGACCTTCTGATATATGATATCTAAAAAAGACGTGTCCTATCTGGAATGCAATCAAGACAATATTTTTTTTCAATAAATGGAAGGTTAAGTGATTCCAGTAGGTTTTAGGGCCATTTAAAAAGTTTTAAGCATATTTTGATGATTATGGGTAAAATATCGTGATTCACTAACTATTACAACTTTTTTGGCCAGAAATGTTCATATCGTCCTAACAGCTGTTCTGAAAGAGTTGTAGCTAGTGAGATCTCACTAGTATGGCACGCTCACGTGCACTAACATGCACTAAAAGCACAGGTAATCGGCCTGCTATGTCAACAAAGCAAGGAGCAGCTCGGATTACAACACACACACACACACACACACACACACACACACACACACAGAGACGTCATTCTCTGATATCTTACTATATCTTTACATAGATTATAGATGTTTGATGAGATATTAATGTTCAAAATGTCGTATATTGCTCCTTTAATTATTCAGCCAAAACATTATTAAAGTGAGAACATGGGTGACAGTGTTCACTCAGTAAATGACCGCAACAATCACAGTACATCAAATGTTCATGCTGCGGAGTGGCTGGTATACAGACACAGTAAGTGCTATATACTGTCACAAACATACTCAACTGAGCACTATGTATTGTTTCTTTATTCTAGGGCTGACTGAATCCCATCAAAGTCAGACTGAGGAATTATAGTCACTTAAAATCCCCATTTGACAGAGAAAAGTAGTTAATACCATTAGTGTACATCAGATCATACTGTGACTGTGAGGCTTTGTGTGGATGCAGACGGCTAAAGCCACTGTGATCAGGAGAGGTTTTGTTTTGGTGGAGTTAAGTACGACCGAAGTGCAAACCACCACCATATCTTCTGGTGCTGTCCTAAGATGCAAACATTCTGGCAAAACATTTGGAGAATTATGCAGCATATTCTTGGCCAGCAGATCCTACTCACATGCAAGTCACTGTATTTGGGCGATCTACCAGAAGGAATAACAGGAAATGACAGATACCTCCTGAAAATATTAACGGTAGCAGCAAAAAAAGCAATTACTCATAAGTAGCTACAAACCCACCCACCTTCAGTAGAAAATTGGACTGAAATCTTATAGAAATTCACAATATTGGAAGACTGACTTTCCCTCTGAGACTAAGAAAAGACACATACATAGCAAGATGGACAAAATGGACCAAGTATTTGTCAGAACAAGGAAATCGGCTGGTGACTTGCCCTCCCTAACCTCATACAGCTTTTTTGACTCTGTTCAGTGTTGATGCTCATTATCTCGTAAGAAGACAGGTACTCTCTTCAAACAGGATGCTACTCCATGTGTGTAAATCTAGATCCAAGTTTAAGTAAAGCTCTGTATAGAACCCTCCTAATATATTTTTTGATATCTGTTGTTGGGCTGACATTATGGTTGACACGAGTGTCGGACAACGTTGTTGGCGTGTTGCATGGTTGTTTTGATGTATTTCTTTTTCTCTTATTTATTTATTTATGTCTAATTTGTTTTTCTTCCTGGTCTTTCTTTGCCAGTTGATGGTTTATTATTTTTTTAACTTGTTTAGGATTTGTTTTTCTTTGCTGTAAAATAAACCTCGTAGTAAAATATACAACCGAACGCTGAATGGGACATTTGTTGGCAAACAAAATGTCACAGTCAGCTTTCATGAACTGAAAACACACTGTGATGTATTGTAGAAGACTTGAAACTAGAGATTGAGACCATAAACTCATGTTTACAATGTTTACTGAGGTAATAAATCAGGAGAGAAGTAGAGTCATTTTCTCATAGACTTCTATACAACCAGAGGAGTCGCCCCCTGGTGGACATTAGAGAGAATGCAGCTTTAAGACACTTCAGCTTCACTTCACTTTTCAGAACCAGAGGTTGCCGCCTGAGTAAATTGTCACATTTAAAATAATTTGCCTAGTGTGACTACAGTAAATGAAAACACACTTGTTCTATTATTGTAGTTAGGAAATTAATCACCAACATATGAAAATGGTGGGTGTCATCTTAATATTGGTCCAAAAGTTGTATTTTAAGTCATTACTGCTCAATGGATGATACAGTGTGGACCACCAGAGATCATGAGCAGGACAGGATGCTGGTTACTGTAATGTGTGGTAGATGGTGTGAGGCACACACAGAAGAATTTGCCTTCTGGAAGATAGGAAACATACAATTTCCTAAAAGTGTTATTGGAAGCGTGCATTTAGCATTTCTAGCATAGTTGCAGACAGAAAATAGACACTGTGTGTTGGAGGATGCTTCAGAAGTCTCAGTGTCTTTGTTTCATAAACTTCACTCGCTGGACTAAGAGACAAAATTCAAGGCACTCACCGAGGGCTCCATGAAGGTTCTGGAACAATCTGCATTTGCTGTCCAGAGTGATATTTGTGGATTTCTGAAACATGGACACACATTGTTCTCACAAATTCCCAAATTAAAGCCAGTATTGAAAAAGGGATCTCAAATAATAGCTCCAGGTGTGGCAGCACAATCACATAATAAGTATAAGCAGTACCAGCACTAATTGTATCAGTACTACAGAGTCATGTTATACTCTTTTAACACTAATACTGCTCTCAAACACTCCATTCCAGTTACGTCTATTCTTTTGTTTACTGTTAGATTACCATCGTAAAACACAACACTTCCTGCAGATGTTTCAAATTAAAAGACTAACAGGAATAGGCGTGGTTAAGCTCACCAAGCTACTGGAAGGCTTTTAATGTGAAACATCTCTGCAGAAAGTGCTGAGTCTCATTAACAGCGCACAAAGAAAATTGCCAAATGGAAATTTCAGGGCATATTTTTTCTGTCAGAATTAGTGCTTTGGAAATGTAAATGATACTAAACTCATCAAATCAGATAAACGCGGAGGAAGTGTTGAGTTTGCATCAACAGCAAATAAGAACAGGAGCAGATTAGAAAAGAGGCTTCTCACTAAAATATGATGAAAGAAATAACAGGGAACAGAAAGGTTTCTCTGAAATTAAGGCCATTATTTTAGGATTTTATATTACATAATAAAATATCACAGATGAATTACATGACAATGTTAAAAGAAAGCTAGTATTATTGTTATTAGTAGTAGGTCTAGTATTGAATGTACTTAATGTGACATGGAATAAATTAAAATACAGATCCATAAAATAAACGCTGACATGTAGCACATCTTACCCTTTTAACTGGATCAATGTAAATCTTGGTGAAGAACAGCTGGTCACTGTCTTCTCCCGTCCAGTCAGCAACCATTTCTTTGATGTTGGGAAGGTAGCCAATGAAACCTGAGGGAGACAGGAAGTGAAAAAAAAAAAATGGTATTCCATATTCATAGATACAAACGCTTTCATATTGTGCCTACATTCAGATACAGTCAAGTCAACTGTTTATAATTGCCATAACAACTACTGCCAGGTTCAGTTTTTATGGCCTCAGCCCAGAGCTGACTGCTGTTTCTCTGCTATAAAGAGAAGTGGCCGTGTTAGTTCCTGGACTAAAGTCTAGTCACACCAGCAGCTGGTAAACGTTAGAGTGCTAAGAGATGTGCATAGTGTATATTTGTGTGAGGATAGCGTAAGTGTCATCCTGTTAAGTCACATATGTCATAAGTAGTCTTGATGAGCTAGATGTAAAAATAGACTAGAGGGATGCCTACATTTTAACCATGAACTAGCTAAACATGTCGTTTCATTTAAACACCATCAGTGCTTTCATCAATATTTAGAATCAAATTCCAGATATCTCAAACTTGGAATTACAATTGGGAGGCCGACGTGACCATTTTCGTTCCATTTGCTTTCTCACAATTGTGGACTGAAGGATAAGATATGAATGTGGCATACCTTTCTGATAGCTCTGTTTGAGAATTGACAGCAGCTTTACGTGTTTTCTTGTAAACAAAGAATGTTCTCTTTGTATTCAGTGTTACTCAATTAACTCTTAACCGCCCAGAACATCACTGGTACCATCTACTGAGCATCAATGATATTGGTGATGAGAGGTGCCTGCAAAGAGCTAAACCCACCAGCAACAACCTGTTTCTGTCTGGAGTGACATACAGAAGTACAGAAGACTCCTAAATCCATCCTCTGCCCTCCATATATAATATAGTTTTGTTTTAGTTTTTTTCTGTGTATCTTCTTTTTTTAAGCTGAATGGGACTACAGTCTGCATTTTGTTGCCCAACCCTGTTGTACATTGACAATAAAATGAACCTCGTAACCTTGTAAGAAAGTAGGGTGAAAACAGCAGCTGATCACACCTCTCCCTGGCCAAGGTCACTACTAGACTAGCTATGACCAGACTAGTATGGAAGGCAAGTGACATGATGCGAAACATGAATTTCATCACAATGTCAGAGCCATGCGGCCTCCCCCAGCTGTGTGACTGACAGGACTGGTGCACGTACCTCCTGAGCCTAGGAATCTGTTGCCCTCGGCGACGTGGGGGTGTTTGTCCTCCAGGTGTCTGTCGGGCCAGATCAGGCTCTCAGAGGAGAACACCACCTTGTGTCTGGCCTGCTGGAACTTCTTGAGCAGCTCTTTGGGGCCCGAGGCGAAAACCACATCATAGCTGTGTGAAAATAGAAAACTTTACTGCCCGTGTGGCTCACAGTGTGTGAAGCCAGTGGCATAGTTAAAACAAATGAAGGGATGCCTTTATAAGATGCCAACATTCTTTATTTGGAGAGCTAAGTTGCCAGTGGTTGTGTTTACCGGTGCTTGAACAAAAAGCATGTACACATGTTTCAGCCTTTTTACTGCAGCTCCCATGTACTATTATTATTACAGTACATTTAAGGCTGAATTACAGATATAGTTCAACAATTTGGGAACTGTACTGAATCAGTAGCTTTTAGTAGTGGAGCTCCTCACTGGTAACCGAGAGCCCCGTTGTCCGCTCCGCTGTGATTCACAGTATGCTACTGTCTGTTTATTGAAAGACGGAAGAACTATGAACAATCTACAGCAACAACCATTATGTGATAACTGTTGCAAATAGAAGGCTGCTGAGCTATTAAACCTGTATACAAACAAAACGGATAAAAGCCTAGATTGCACTGAAGAGTTTGATCCTTAAACTGAACTGAAGACGAACACCATGGCATCATGAACTGTGATAAGATGGATGACTGATGTGTGTACTAAGGGGCTTTGGGAGGGAAATGCAAATGTTTATTTAAAACATAAGTACGTATTGACAACACATCTTTGAAGTGAACTGAAGGAATGGATTTATATCAGCAAATTAATTTACAATTTCCACCTCTCTTGAGAAGATGAATCTGAATTTCAGTCTGGACATGGTTAGCCTAGCTTAGCATAAATACTGGAAGCAGGGGGGACATCTAGCCTGCAGTTGCAAAGCTTCCCGAAGTAGTCAAACTGTGAAGTGCAATTACAGGCTGCAAACGAACCCGCTGTCCTTTCACAGCAAAGCAGTCCAGCGCTTAAGTCGAACAATGTTAGACACACAGCCATCCCTTGAATCACTGCTTTTAGCTACTGCCCTTAGGGTCGAGGTACAGACTCCCCCGGGAAAAGAAAAAAAATATATGTATCCGTTTGTTTCATCTGTACACACACAGAAATGTAACAAAGACAAATGGGGATTGTATTGGAGGGTTATGTATTGGAAGTATTTCTTGGTGAACAAAACTGCTCACATTATCCACAGACACTGTGCTAGAGGTAATGGTAGGAGTATTTCTTTAAACTCTGGACAGAGCCAGGCTAGCTGTTTCCCCTTACTTCCACTATTCATGCTAAGCTAGGCTAGGCTCCAGCTCTGTACTTAACACTCTGACATGATATTGATATCTATCTGAGCATCTCACTCTCAGAAAGAAAGAACATTTCCCAAAGTATTGAATTTCTTTTGAATGATTTTTGCCCCCTCAGGGACAGACAGAGACACTGAACTATACTCAGAATGAGATAATACATATTCAGTCACTAAATACTTTATTTTCTTCCCTACACTAAATATTAGTGTAGTACTTATTGTGCTGTTGCGTGGCAATGCAGCAAAGACTTGTTGAGTGAATAACTACATAGTAACACAGACTATTTAAAATCTAAACCCATCTGGTGTCATTTGGAATGTGCTCAGCATTGTTATATTATTATATTGTAAAAATGTGCTGTATAAATCCATGGAGGAATACACACAGCCCATATTCAGCCCCTTAAACGAGTCGTCAGGATTTCTGTGTGATCCTTTCAAAGTTCTAAACATTCTAAATGTGTCCCAGTTGGTTTCTGGTTGGATGTGGATGTGGATGACATCAGCAGACAGGAAGTAAACATGGACCCAAGCTGTTGCTTAGCAACGAAATGACGTTGAGATGTGTTAAAACAGTGTTTCAGACTGAGGGTGAATATTCAGACAGACAGTATGAGAAACATAAAGAGCACAACATTAAAGCATGTAAACATGTTGTAGTAGAAAGTGTGAACCTTGAAATGAGCACGTGTCCATATAGTAGCAGGATGTTACTCTGGCCATCACATTCAAATCTGACGCTTTGTCCGTGGTGAAGACACTCTACCTGTCAATGAAGAGGATGATTTTGTCCTCATCCTTCATCTCCTCCAGAGCTGCTTTAAGGAGTCGTACTTTCTGGCCTCCTCCTGGAGCTGACATGTAGTCGCCAGAGTTCCATTTCTCACCCTCACCAAGAACCTTAAAACATACATACAGACATACATTTACTGCATTTTGAAGATATGAATTTAAAGATATTTATCCTCAGAAAACATAACTGCCAAGTTTCACTTTATTTTTGAAAAAAACAGTGGCTTATTTCTTTGACTCAAATGCATTGAAACAGTCTCAAATGTAAAAACAATGATAGCATGATGATATTGAAGAGAAAAGTATGTATAGCAAAAATAGGGATTAGTTTTCTTGTAGAGAATAGATAGAGGGGCTTCCATAGACAGGAGAGCTACTTTGACTTGCCACAGGGGTTCCTACCTTGACAGTGTAGTTGAAATGTTTAGCTGAGTGAAAGAAACGCTTGAAGCCATCCGTCTCTTTGGTTGCAACAGTCACAACTAGAAGTTTCTCTGGAAGACACCACATTACAGAGGAATTTAGAAAAATAATATGCGGCCTTCTTTTTTTCTTTTGCCTTCAGCATGAAGCAACCCAGTGGATCTGCCACAACTGACTTTAACACAGGAATACATTCAAAGAATAAATAATAATGTATGGTTCACATTTGTTGACATTGTGGTGTACATTACAGGTGCAAAGTCACCAGGAAATGTACAATAAGGCCTAATCAAATGAGCAAAAGCAAAATGACAGGCTGTGGATGGTTATGTAACCTTGATAATGACAAATATAAGTTATCTGATGATGACATCATAAATTAAACATATTGGGTTGCAGCTACCCCGGCTCAAAATAAATGCTGGACCTGGTAATAACTGACAGTATTTATATTGTATTATTTGATTGTTGTATATGGGTTGTAGTAGGTTACTGACTGCAGAGACAAACTATTATACAATATTTTTGGTCAATGTGATAATAATAATTCGTCACAGGTCAGCAATCATCATCTTAGAGAAAACACTACTTCTGATATGATTTACAAATATATTTTGTGATTTTCTCACCCATGATAAAACTACAACATCAGATCTGGATTAGTTATGGACAGCTTCTTGATTTATAGTCTAAATCTGAGTCCAACCATGAGAGTGAGTTGGACTCACAATCTCTGATCTGAAGCGCATTTGAGGAAAGGAAGGACATTTAAATCAAAAGGAACACTGAAACATAATTCTAAACACATAGTCCTGACGTCTTGTCTTCATAAAATAACATGGAGAGTTCACCAGTTTTCAACAGACAAGATACGGTTTCACGGTTGTCTCGTATCAAGTGTTCTTTTCTTTATTGTCGTGCTGACCTATTTCAATCTACTAGCATTCAAGTCTATACAACTCCAGAGACTGCTCTGGAAACAACTGGTGTTGTTTTATCAAATCTGGCTGACTTTTTCTGAAGGTAATTCTTCAATACTCTATTCTTTATATGAGACCGTATAGAGTACCGCTAATCTGCTTTCGACGTGCTACGGAGGAATATGTAAAAGTATCAGTTTTGTTCTTTAACGGACTACATTCTACATCATCTTTACAGCATACAAGCATTCCATGAGCTAGCTAATGTCCTCGTGTTAACAGCAGCGCTGACAGCCCGCCGTCCACGTCCACGTCAGCGGGCTGAGTCCTCCTCAGCACCTCCGTCCTGCTGTCTCTAGTTTAAAGAGTTGCCATAATGTTAAACTCGTTGCTATCTTTTTAAATCGGAAAAACAACACACAAGTTACAACCCAGCGTCAGTTAATGTCTTTCGGAATTGTAAATAATTATACAGCATATGCTTCTAGGGACACAAGCACAAAGTACTCAGTGGTACTGTATTTTCCATATGTGGCTTATTCACTGCGAAGTCTACTGCAAAGTTGTAACGTTAGACATGTCTGTGGATTGACACGGCCATACCAGAGGTAACGTTAGGGTGAGGGTCTCCTTCAACCGGGGACCACATGAGCTAAGGAGTCTCCCCCAGTCCAAACCCAGCTGAGTGACCTCAACTTTGCAAACTGAGACTGGGTTGACTTTCCACATTAGCTGACGTTAAACGTGTGCAGATAGCACGGTGGTTAGTAGCGTTGGTTAGTACCGGGCAGCATTCCTGACTTACCTTCGGGGATTCGCTGCTCTTCGCCGTTTGTTAGAGGGAAAAGTGCACAGACAAAAATCCCTGGAAACAACAGCAAGGGTGAAAGTCTCATTTTTAACAAGTTAAAGTTAACTTGTTTGCACGAGTCCTTGTGTAAAAATGAACTATACACGTTTCTAGCCGTACGAGAAAGAGAATCTCGGCCGTGTAAACGTCTCCACTGCCTGCCCCCTCTCTCCGCCTGTATCCCCCCACTCTCTCTCTCTCTCTCTCTCTCTCTCTCTCTCTCTCTCTCTCTTTTCACAGCAGGCTCATGTGTTTGTATCCACCCGCAACGCCTTCCAAAATGGGACAAGAAGCTGTTTGAAAACGATGACCCAGCTGTTCTGCGGACATGATCACTTGCACGTAGCCTGTATTTACACCAGTGTATTTATGTTTTCATCCAGTCAGTATAAGATGTTGAAATTCACAAACAGTAACTGTAAAATTACAAAATGACAATGACAACAACATTGTAACAAGAAAAGAGGATGTGGATATTTCGTCTATTTTCATTAATATCAATGAGGGTTGTTTTACCTGGTATTTACCTAATAAACTGTAGCTTGTGATGGTACTGTTTAATCAATTTACTTTCATGTGGCTATGAAATGTTAACAAAAAATACTTTAAATGTTTTAAAATGTACATTTACACTACAATATAACTTTAACTATTACTTGGATTTCAGAGAGTGAATGCCTGGTTTCCATCAATGGAATTAACATTCATTGTATTGTTTTAATTTTTTTTGCGACATTTCCGGTTGCTGTTGTGTAGTTTTGCTTTACGGCAGTTGTGACAAACCAGAAGTCTCACTGCTGGCTGTAGAGTTATTTGGAAAGTCAGCTGATGTTTTCAACCTGAAGGCAAACAAAAAACGAAATGACCTGAGATACGACAACTTGACGATTGTCAAACACACCAGCTAAAGGACATGACTATAACGATGCGAGAAATAATAGCACACTTCCAGTAGTTTTCGTTCTCAGCGCTAACTACCTAGCTAAGCTAACTTAGCCAGACGCTAGAGAAGCCAGTTTGTCAGCTTTCATCCTGGGGAACAGCATGTTTTGAGTAGGACCCGTAACCGAATTCGATGTGACATATTACAATTTTCCGTTTTTATACGCTGACTCGTAGCTGGGCTTCCATCATTTAAACACGTAATGTGGCTACAGCAGAGACTAAAGGGGCTACCAGGCTTGTTATCAAGCAGCTGGGCGAGAAGACTCCTGATAGGACTGCTGCTCTTCCTCATCTTCTACTGGTACCTGGGAGCAGAGCGCGGATGGAGGTTCTTCAGCGGCTCGGTCATGCCCGGTGGAGCCGCGGGACAATGCCTACTGGCTGAAATCCACAGGTGGAAGTCTCTCGTAGACCGAGGAGAGGGGATATACAGTACACCGCAGGAACAACTGGATACACCTTTCGTATCGGGCAACGGCCATATTCTTCTTGACATTGACTCTAACAAACTGTGGGTAGCGTCGTCTTCACAGCCCGGCTCGGCTCCGGTCCACCAGACGGAATACTCGCCGAGAGTCGGTGTCCATCTCGAGGGGAAGCGTGCCGAGGTTCAGGCTACCATGCTGTGGTTCCGGAAAGGAGCCGTGCTGTCGGTCCGCTGTGCTTCACCAGCCGCCCTGCAGTCAGCCCGGGACTGTGTCACCATCAGAGAGGAGTTCATCGCGCACAGAAGCAGACCTAACGTCTATCTGCAGCGAATCCACATCAGCAACCCGTCTGACAAGTCCGCGTCATTGGACGTCTCCTATGATAACCCCGCCTTTGGTAGCAAGTTCACCAGCAGTGTGGAGAAACTGGAGGACAGAGAGATAGTTCTCTCCTCTGGCAGAGTGCTTGTGGAGAATAACCGGATGGTGCTGGTGGTGGTGGTCTCCAAGAAGGTGAACAGCAGGCTCCAGGTTCCAGCTAAATTAGAGTACACAGACAACATCCTGTCAGTGGTGTGGACCTCAGAGCCCATCGAGCCCTCCAAGCTGGAGGAGACCTTCACCACCCTCAGAGATGGAGCCAAACGGGAGCTGGGGGAGCTGCTGAGGGCAAATGTGGAGGAGTTGGTTGTAGATCACCAGCAGGCCTGGATGGACCTCTTCATTTCAGGTGAGTAAAGGGCGTAGTGGCAACTGGCTCTGGGTTCTAAAGGAGCATGTTGGTTTCTAGTCCATTTCCTAGAATCACACGGAATTGAGAGAAGGAACACACACAAATGTAAAATAGTACAGCAGTCTTAGAAAGACAGCAGTCGTTAAATTGGCCTAAACATACCAATGTGTGCTTTTGAAGGTCAAAGGTCAGAATAGAAGATCAAATTTCATTCCGGTTAAACTTAGAACAGGGCTGTAAAATATTGTGAAATGTGTAGATGTGAACTCTGATGGGATTTTATGTCAGATCTTGCTCACCTGTTCTGTCAGGAGGCAGGTTGGTTTTAATCATGCGTCGCCTGTAAAGATGTTAGTGTTTGGTTCTGGCCCCAGGGTCTGTGTGGATTATGATTATCTCCCATTTTATTAAAAATAAAATGTTGGCACACAGCCTAAACGTTTTTTATTATAGATTATTTTTTGGAATATAGAAGCGCAACAGAACTGACTGATGTGAAATAAATTGTAAACATGAAGACACATCATATGAGCAATCAGTTCGACTTACAGATCAAAGCATTATAAGGAATTTGTACCCTTTCAAAACAACTCAAACAATCTTACTGACTAACTTCCGGCTCTCTTTACAACACTTAGGGAGCTCCTGAAAACATGAGTCATTTATATATAGTTGTTGTTGTGAGTCGCTGTGTTGCTGTGTTGGGTTCCTGGCCTTTTGATTACCTTTGGATTACAGATTGCACATTAAAAAACCATTTAAGAGCAGTAATTCACCAAGACACGTCTTCCCATCAGCTGACTCCTGGGCTGCTGATGTCGCTGAATCACACTTGCCCTCTTTTCCTCTTTTTCTGTACATTTTGAATGAGTTGCACCTTCTTAACATTCTCCATGTTTCTCTGTCTTTACTATTACATTCTCCATTCCCCTTGTCCCTCCTTCACTCTGTGAAAACCTAAAAAGCCAGTTTCAAACATCTGTCATTTAGGAATGAATGAGCTATGGAGTTTGAATTCAAGCTAATGAGCTATTTAGATTGTTTAAAGCAGTGTCAGGCTGGATAAAGCAACAACAGTAATGGGGGGAATTTCAGCATCACTTTGTGGCTTCATTATTATTTGATGCAGCATGTTTATGATTATGTCCATCCGATCCCTGAACTCTGATTAATTCATCTGCCCCTTGTCATCTTTTTCTCTGCTCATTTAATAGAAGTTTACTTACTTGACTCACTATACTCATTAAATGGTAACCACTCAAAGTGCTTTAACACTACATTCACCCATTCATACACTGATGGCAGGCACTACCATGCAAGGTGCCACCAGCCCATCAGGACTAACTGAAGGAACAGCTACGGGAGCTTCTTGGGGTTATGGCCCGAGGACACATGGACTAGGGGAGCCGGGGATCGATCCTCTGATTGAAGGGCGACCCTGCTGTACCACTGAGCCACAGTCGCCCCAAGTAGCTCAGTGGTGGAGCAAAAACAATATGAAAAGTACTTTTTTTTTTTTTTTTTTTTTTTCAAAAAGACCATGGAGGCCAAAAATATGCAAAGCATTAAAATTCTGCTTCAAATATTCCCAACTTTCCTGATTAAGTAGAAGTCTTACATCTAACTCACCCTTTCCACAAACTGGCTCCCAGTTGTATTCTACTCTAATTCTAACTTGTTTTAAACATTTTCACCATGTGAGCACACTAACTGAACATTTGAAATAAAAGAGCTACGCACAGATGAAAAAGGTGGTAAATGTCTGTGTAAACAGAAATACAGTAATCATGGTGGAAAGCTCTGGAAAAGTTAGCAAGTGGACCTTGAGAAAAGATTGACAAAGAATAATATTTGACGGTGAAAGCAACCAATCCTTGGATACATGCCAGGTTTTTGTGAAGCTGTGCTTTTGCTTCTCTGTTCATTCAGGTGTTGAAATGAGGAAAATCACAGACTCCCACACGCCATCGAGCCGCACGGTGAACACCACCCTCTACTACATCTTGTCCTCCTCCATGGCTCCGCTGCTGGATCGAAGGCTGGGCAGCGAGGAGCGTGTCCGCCTCGAGTCCAGCCTCAAGTACGCAGACCACTGCTTCAGCGGCCACGCCACCATGCACGCAGAGAACCTGTGGCCCGAGCGGGTGAGCAGTGCAGCTCAGATCCTGCAGCTGGTCACGCTGTGGACTCTGACCCTGCAGAAGAGAGGCTGCAAGGTGCTGGTGGCGGCCGGAGCCCATGGCGCCATGCAGGGCATGGTGCTCAGCTTCGGCGGCCTTCAGTTCACCGAGAACCACCTTCAGTTCCAGGCTGACCCGGACGTGCTGCACAACAGCTATGCCCTGAGAGGGATCCACTACAACCAGGACCTCATTAACCTGGCAGTGCTGCTGGATGGGGAGGGAAAGCCTTTTCTCCACGTGTCCGTGAAGCCGCCACAGGAGAAGCCGGTGAAGCTGTACGCCTGCGAGGCCGGCTGCCTCAACGAGCCCGTGGAGCTGACGTCCGAGATCAAAGGCCACACCTTCCCTGTGATGGTGACGCAGCCCATCACGCCGCTCCTGTACATCTCCACAGACCTGCGCCACCTGCAAGATCTCCGCCACACCCTGCACCTCAAGTCCATCCTGGCCCACGAGGAGCACATGGCCAACAGGTACCCAGGCCTGCCCTTCCTCTTCTGGTTCAGCGTGGCATCGCTCATAACACTCTTCCACCTGTTCCTCTTTAAGCTCATCTACAACGAGTACTGTGGCCCCGGAGCTAAGCCCCTCTTCAGGAGCAAGGTATAAACAGCGATAATAGAACACAACAGGAAACAAAAAAACTGATCTGCTCTGCTCCTTTTTTTTTTTTTTTTTTTTTACTTGTGCTTGTGCTTGTGGTGGCAAAGATTTCCTCTCTCTCTATCGACGCTCTCTCTGTGGGTTTGTTTCTCAGTTTTGATCTTCACTTTCTCTCAGTGAACTTTATTTTCCTCTCTCACGTGGTCCATGTTTGGAGTGATGGCCGTACACAGCTCCCCTCTCAGAGAGATTCACCGTGATACAGCTTGTACTCACAGAACAGTGATCTCGGTTCAGTACAGCACCAGTAGAATAGTACCCTTCATTCAAGACCTTGAAGTTACAATGAACCATTTGGTCCGTTTCGTCATTTTAGCCCACCACCTGTTCCACTGCACCCGTCATCATGGGATGTAAAGCATTCGTTCATTGCAATGGAAGAAAAATAAGCACAAGAGTTCATTTTTTCCCAAATTAGAAGGTTATTGTTTAACTGTATTTATACTGCATTCATGTTGTTCTGACGGAGCATTAAGGGGCCATACCAGTGTTTCTGCATTTATAATAAAGCACATGTACTTTACTTTGGTGAAGGAACCTTTTCTTCAAGAAATGTGTTCGTATTCATTCTTGTTTGAGTTAGGTAATCCATTCCATTGGACGTGACCACTATTAACATTATGGAGCAATGTTGCCCCCTCCATGCCACCCCCCCCCCCCCCCCCC